AAAAAAAATTTAAAAAAAAAAAAAAAAAAAAAAAAAAAAAAAAAAAAAGTAAAAAGTAAAAAAAAAAATTATTAGGAATATTTAGGGGTAAATGAAAACAATAAATACAAAAATAATATTAAGCGATATAAAATATAATGATAAAAAATGGTATTAAAAAAAAAAAAATAATTTTATTACATAAGAAAATTTATGTAACCAATAAAGAATTAATTATATATATAATGGATTTTATAAAAAAAAAAAATGATAATAAAATAAAGGAAATAAATAACACAACAGCAAAGAAAAAAAAGAAATTTTTTTATTAGTAATGATAAATAGGGAAAATTTATAAAAGAAATACATATATAAATAAATTTAGAGATCACAAATAACCAAAAAAAAAAAAAAATCATAACTTTTTTTTAATTATTAAAATATAGTTTAATATATAATGAAAATAAATCATTCAAAGAAATTATAATCTTTCTTCTTTTCAGATCTCATAAGTCTTTTATTATTTATTTCTTTTAATAAATCGTCAGATGGGTGTAAATAATTATCTAATTTGTTTTTATTTTTTTGAATAATAAATTTTTTATTTTCAATTTCAATTTCCTTATAATTAGCCCAAATAGCAAAGTTATGTAAAATTATAGAACATGAAATTGAAACATTTAAAGAAGATGTCCCATTTCCATATTGAGGAATATAAATAATTTTGTCACATAAATTTAAAATTTTATCTTCAATTCCTGTACCTTCATTTCCAAATAAAAAAGCTGTATCTTTTATAAATGGCTTTTTTGTAACTGAAATTGAGTTATTTGTTATTTCACAACCATATAATAAAATATTATTTTTTTTTAAATAATCTTTTAATTCTATTATATTATCAAAGTACTCAATACTTATGTATTGGTATGTGCCCATGTTACCAAAAAAGTTTATTTCTTTTTTTTTTCTTCCAATAATAAATATTTTACTTACATTAAAAGCAACACAACTTCTTATTATGCTTCCAACATTTTTTTTTTTGCTTATGTTATAAATTACTACATACATATTTATTTTTTTATCACAATTATTTTTAATCATAATATTTTCACACACTTCCTTACTCTTCATATTGTATATGCTTATATCTCCTTTACTTATTTCATCCTTTCCATTTATTTCTTCATTTTTATTTATATCTTTATTTTGATACACGTCACTATTTTCATTTGTAACTTCAATTTCATTAAATTCATCCATTTCTTTTTTTTCCCATATATGTTATTTACTTTCCCATTTATATTTTTTTTTTTTTTCCAAAATATATAAATTCTTTTGGTTTTCCTATTTTCATGTATTTTCTAAACAGATTATCTTCAATGTAGTTACGTTGTTATAATTACTGTGAAATAATTTATAAAATAATATTATTTATAATAGCATTTAAGTTAAAATAATATTAACTTTAAAGTTTTTTTTATATTTCTTATAAGTAAAAACTTAAATATTTATTTGAATATATTTAAAAAAAAAAATAATCATATTTTTATAAGAATAATAAATTATTTTAGTAATGTCCTTAAATGTGTTTTATTTAATGTACATTTTTAAAAAAATGAAATAAAATCCTTTTAAAGTGGAGAAAACTTATTTTTACATTTCGATTTTTCTTCTTAATATTTTTGTTTCTTTAAGAAAAAAAAACTAATATTTTTTTTTTTTTATTGTTTTCAAGGAATTTTTTTCAGTTAAAACAAAAAAAAATAAAATAAATTTGATCTATTTTTTTTTTTTTTTTTTTTGTTTGTTTATATTAAAAGCATCTACGAATAATTAAATTATAAGTATTTCATTAAGTACAAAAACATTTTAGTGGATTATTCTTGATATATATATATATTTTTTTATTTTTATCTTAATAAATATTATACAATTTAACATATTTTCATTAAATTGTTATAAATTCGTTTCTATGGATTTATTGTGACAAAATGAATGATATAAGATTAAATGAAAAGAATAAAAATTTTAAATATATATTAGGAATAGAAGGAAGTGCTAACAAATTAGGTATAAGCATAATAAATGGAGATATGAAAATATTAGTAAATATGAGAAGAACTTTTGTTTCTGAAATTGGATGTGGTTTTATACCAAGAGAGATTAGTTTACATCACAAATATTATATTGTAGATATGATTCAAAGTTGCTTAAATAAGCTAAATATAAAAATAACAGATATTTCTTTAATATGCTATACTAAAGGACCAGGCATAGGTTCCGCTTTATATGTTGGTTATAACATATGTAAAATTCTATTCTTACTTTTTAATATTCCTGTAATTGGTGTTAATCATTGTATTGCTCATATAGAAATGGGGATATTTATAACTAAATTGTATCATCCAATTATATTATACGTAAGTGGAAGTAATACACAAATAATTTATTTTAACGATCATAAAAAAAGATACGAAATAATAGGTGAAACATTAGATATTGCTATTGGGAATATTATTGATAGATCGGCAAGAATTCTTAAAATCTCGAATTCCCCTTCACCAGGATATAATGTAGAACTTTTAGCTAGAAAAAAATATATGCTAAATATTTTGAAAAAACAAAAAAATAAAGCTATAAATATTTTAAGTGAAGAAAATAAGCTTAAAAATATGAATATGCAGAATAAAAATACAAATGACATTAATATTAATATTATTGATCATGTAAAAACAGAAGATAATGATTCATCGCTAAAAGAAAGTAATGTGATTAATACGAAATGTACTGCTAAAAATAATGATGCAAATGATATTTCAAATGATAACTATGATTATACTGAATTACTTTTTTTCCCATATACTATTAAAGGAATGGATATATCCTTTAGTGGATATGATTTTTATATTACCAAATATTTTTCAAAATATATAAATAAAAATATAAAAAAGACGAAAATGAATTCTAAAAATAATAAAAATGAGAGCAAATGCAGAGAATATAATAAAAATATAGAGAAAAAATGTAAAACTGAAAATAACTCTTGTGATACGTCTTCGAAAAAAGAAGAAAAACTGAATAAAAACAATTTGAAAAAAGAAGAATACAAAAATTGTTATGTTTCAGAAGCAAAAAATTTAAGCACTTCTGAAAAACAAAGTCTCTCATTTTCTAATAATTCTAGTAAATATAGTAATGTAATTAATAAAAATGAAAAGGAATTTAAAAAAGATAATGAAATAAAAACAGTTGTAGATGAAAAGATTTCCATAAGTAAAATTGATAATAAATTAGATAATACTTTAAGTAACATATCATTAATTAAAGGAAATTCATATTATGAAGATAACATCATTTACAAATGTGAAAATAAAAAAAATTATGGGGACAATAATAAATATTTTGAAGAAGATTGTTCCATAGAAACCGACAGTGATTTTTACGAAAAATGTTTAAGTGAAGAAGAAAAAGAAATTATAAATTTAAGTGATGAAGAAAAAAGAAAAATACAAATTTGCTATAGCTTACAACATCATATATTTAGCATGCTCATAGAGATAACTGAAAGGGCTATTTCATTTACAAATAGCAAAGAAGTTATAATAGTAGGAGGAGTAGGATGCAATTTATTCCTTCAAAATATGATGAAAAAAATGGCAAAACAAAAAAATATAAAGATAGGTTTCATGGATCATAGTTATTGTGTTGATAATGGTGCAATGATTGCTTATACTGGTTACTTAGAATACATGAATTCAGAAGATAAAAATATTTACAATTTTGAAAACATAAGTATACACCAAAGATATAGAACGGATGATGTTTTAGTAACTTGGAGATAATGCAAATTCTTTAGCAAAAGATACTATTATCTGTTAATAATATATATATTTTTTTTTTTTTTTTTTACGTTTAAATTTTTTTTTTTTTATTTTTTAAGTATAAAAAGGAAAATTTCAATATATTGCATTTTTTAATTTTATATTTTAAGAAAAAATTCCTCATTTTATTATTTTAAATAAGTACTAGAAAAAATTAATGCAATGTTTATGAGAGTAATAAATAAATATGTATATGTTGTTACACTTGCATAAATATATTAAAAATAAAAATGTTCATCTTAAAAAAAAAAATTTTTAATTCAAATGCACATATATATATGTATTTAAATATCCAAGTAATAAAAAAAAAAAAAAAAAAAAAATTAAATAAACTTAATTTTTTTACGTAAATTCGTTTGAATCTTTATAAAATATATATTTTATGATATTAATAATTCAACAGATAAATCTTCCATATATGTAAGAAGATTTTTAGAATGAGTTATCCACTTATCAATACTTTCTTTCATAAAATATATTTTGTCAACATTAAGAACTCTTGGTTTCACCCAAGTTATTTTTACAGATTTTTCAATTTCATCAATTTTGCAAGTTAATATATTTTTACTTTTAGCTGTAATTAGCATTTTTTCAACTTCTTTAATGTCTATTTTACAATGATCTGCAATTTCGGTAAAAGAAATATCTGATCTTTGTTTTTTTTTTCTAAACGCTAGATCCATTAAAGCTAGTAAAGTAATTTTTTTTAGCATGTTTTTTTTATAATCTTTTAAGATTGTGTTTTTAATATTAACTTCATATTTTTGTACAATTTCATTAAAAGCATCAATCTTGCCTTCATTATATACATAAATTAATTGGTACAACCATTTTGTTTCTTCATTATTTTTTATGCATACATTTATCAATGGTAATTGGGTAATTTCACCAATATTATAAACATCTTCACTTATAATTGAATGAATGCATATATATTTCCCTATTTCTATTTTATCTGATTCATCTAGATCATCTAAAGGTGTATAAGCTAAATATAGAAGTGCATATTTAACAAAAAGATCTGATTTATTTAAAACTTTATAATAGTTCATTAAAGCAAAATTATAAAATTTGTGAGATGCTACATTTAGTCCTATTACACCTTGTAACATATTTTTTGTATTTTCTATTTCATTTTCACAACTTTTAAAATCGTTTAATTCTATATATTTTAAAATTAATATACACCTATATATTATTATTGCATCTTTGTCATTCTCTAAATTCTGCTCTGATTCTTTTAAATAATTTACTGTCCATTTAGTATCAAAATTAATAGTTACCAAATATAATAGCTCTGCATAAATTGTCTTCTTTAGTTTAGTTATTAGGGGTGATAAATATGTGTAAAATAAGCGAAATTTATCTTTAATATTTACATTTTTATTATTAACGAACTTTTGTATTTCTAAAGTTAATTCATGATATAATTTTTTTTCTTTGTAACTTTTTATTTCATCAAAATTTATAAAATTATATTTTTCTTTTAATTCATTTATCAATGTATCTTCCTTTTCATTCAATAACTTATTTATTTCTTCTGTTGATGACATTTTTTTTTCTTTTTATATATATTTAAATGTTTATTTATATATTATACAAGTGTTTAATTTTTAATTTATTATATATGTGAATTTATGAAAGTATTAAATATCCCCAATTATACAATTTTTTTTAATATTTTTTTAAATTTTCATAAGATACATCATTTAATTAAAATTTTTTTTATAATAAAAATTCAAAAACTTAAAATTCAATTGTAATTCATAATTTTCATATTTTTATAAATTTTATTTATATGTGCATATATATTTTTTAATATTATTTTAAATTAAAAAACCAATTTTTTATCCACAATAAAGGTATTTGTTTTTATTTTATTATTTTTAATTGTTAAAAAAAAAAAAAAAAAAAAACTGAAGGCATATGTTAAAATGTTAAAAGTACAATTATAAAAAATTTAAGATATAATTTTTGTGTATATATAATTGAAAAAAATAAAAGTATATATAAATAATAATATTGTATAATTGAATTTTTAATTATTAAAAAGTCATGTAAAATACGAATTGAAAAAAATGAATAAATGTAAGCTGTTAAAAATTTATGAAGCTTACGTAAAATTTTATTTCTTATAAATAAATTACCTTATTTTACTTAAATACTTTAAAATTATTGTATTTTTATGTTTTAATAAAAAATATATAAAATTAAAAAAAGAAAAAATTGTACTCTTATTAATATATACATATATATTTATTATTTAATATTATAAACATGAAGATATGAAAACAATATAGAACAAATTCTATGAAAAAAAATAACATATGTTATCCATATTTGAATAACCAAAAAATACATAGTTTTATGTAAAAATTTATTTCATCTATAATATTGAAAAAAAAAAAAAAGAAATGCAAATTTAGAGATAATTTATATGTTTAATTCTTATAATAAACTATATTTGTTTAAAAAGAAATACTGATATAAAAATATCATTTCAAAATATTTTAGTATATATTTATTAATAACGTAATATTTGTTATATACAAAAATTAATCTGCAAAATATAGATTTAAAAATTTTGGTGAATTATTTCTGAATAAGTTAAAATTAAAATAAGACAACAAAAAAATAAAATAAAATAAATAATTGCAAATATTAGTATATATCTACGACATATGTCATCAAAATAAAAAATAATAAATATTTACTAGAATGATGTATTATATACATTATTCAAAAAAATTAATTTTAATATATTTTGTAATACTTTTTATTTACGTTTTATTTTTAAACCTTTCATGTAGGTTAATCAAAATATTTTTTCTTTTTTGGAATATTATATGTATTATATGATTGTTACAAAAAAAAAAAAAAAAAATACTAACTTTACATTAATATTTTAATACATATTTTTAATTGGACATATTGAATTTTTTCATGTCAAGTTCATAAAAAAAAAAAAAAAAATAAATAAACAATTAAGGTATTATTTTTAAACGTGTAAGATAAAATAAAAAAGACATAAAGGAAATGTCCTTAGAAAAAATCTAATAGTGTTATATTTTTTTTAAGATATATCTGCTATTATTGATATTATTATAATTTTAGTTTAATATATTTACAAATTTTTAGTATTACAAAAAAAGAAAAAAAAAAAGAAAAAAAAAGAAATGCATAAATATTTGCAAGAATATAAATGAAGTTAATATATCAATATTTTCAAAAACTCTTTTTTTTTTTTTTTTAATCTTTTAGTATATTAAAAATAATTCTTTAAACTATTTCTTGATAAAAAGGAAATCTGTAGGAGTAAAGTTATGTTTAAATTTTTTTTTTATAACTAATAATTTTTTAATAATTCCAAAATAAGTCTTTATTTAATTAAAAATATTATTTAAAAAAAAAAATAATACAATAAAAAAGAATTATATTTTTATATATATATTTTAATTACTATATATTTTTCTTTTGAAAAATATACTCTTATATTTATTTTATCTTAACTTTTTTTACATACAAAGATAAATTTTGTATTATATTATTAAAAGTGAATATTAAAATAAAGGATAAAATATATAGATAATATGGAAAAAAGAGGAATTCTATCCACTGATGATGAAAATACAAAATCTACCAAGGAATCCCTTAAAAGAAACGAAAAACAAATTCAATTTTTAGTTTATGTCTTAAAAAAATACATAAAAAGTATATTTTTTCATATGAATAAAATTATTAAAATATAAAATGTAAATCTTTAATTGAATGACATTTATTTTAGTTCAAAGTATCATGCTAAATACATACATTAATTATATGTATTACTGTGTAGGCAATATAATTTGTCAGAACTTTTTTTTTTTTTTTTTCTATATAAATTTTATTTCTTATGTATGCTGTTTTCTGAAGTATATATTAACTTTTTTAAGCATTACATATTTTAAAAGACTTATATTTTGTTAAATTATATATATATATATATATATATTCTTATAAAATAACTTATAATGTGAATTCGTGAAAGATAATGGATAATATTAACATAGTTTATTATGCGTACTTTTACTTTATTTTTTCTAAATTTTTAAATTAACATAAAAAAAAATAAGAATAAATGTCTAAATTAAATTTATGTACTTACATTACCATATTTTAGTTCAGAAAAAGTTAATTTTTTTAATTCATGTTTATCAATGTTTTCAGAGGATGAAGAATTAAAAAATAGAGCATATTATTTCTTCCCTTCTGATGATGCATTAGATAAAATACTTTTTAATTTATGTAAATTCATTCCTAAAGATAAAAATATATTAGAAATAAATAAAAAATTAAATATATTTGATTCAGATTCACTTTTTGAATGCGCCAACTCTGAAAGAGATAGCTGGAATAACCAAAATACTATGTTTGATGATATATCGTTAGATGAGCATAATAATAAGAAATACAAAACATCTTCTAATTTTAATTTAAAAGATAGAAAAACTAATAAGGTTTGCGTAGAATGGCAAGGATTCGTTAATGAAGCAAACGGATATGCAGCAATTAAAATTATTGTTCCTTTTGTTTATCAAGAATATTATACTTATGCAAATAGATTAGTATACTTCTTATTTCAAAAAACAAAATGTTTAGAAGTGGAAGATTTTTTAAGTCATCATAAATTCATTAACAAAATTGTTCCATTATATATGACATGTAAAAATAAACTATGTGTAAAATTATCTCATATAGATGCTTCAAATGATTTATATTTTTAGTATTTTACAAAAAAGGATAATTGGATTTTTTATTTTTTCCTATTCATAATAACAAATGAAAAATAAATTAATAACACAAAACAGTTTTTTTTTTTTTTTTTTTTTCTTGCTATAAATATTAAGTTAATTTTGTACTTTTTATAAATGACATAGAAGCCGATATAAAAATTATATAAATTATTGTTACATATATATTCACTTTGATAGTAATAAATTTAAATATGTTAACAATTATACAATTTTCATTATTGATGCTTTATTTTTTATTTTTAATTCACAATGTTAAATATTATTAAGCTAACATACATTTTAGTATTATTTCCTATTCCCTTTAGTTTTTTATATTTTTTTCTGTTCTTTTTATTAATTCTATTAATATTATAAAGAAATGAGGTAAGAGGATCTATGTACAAATATATTAGATTTTAAATTTATAGTAAGAAATTATCAACATATTTTTAATAAATTATACAAACATTTTAATAAATTTCATCTAAATAAAAAATTATAATATTGCTCCTGAATTTTAAAAGAAATATCTCATAGTATTAAAAAGGCTCTACATTTGATACGTTATAAACATATAATGCATATATATATTAATGATAATTACTATACCGTTAAATTTATCCTTTCAATTATAATTTAGTTTTTTAAAAGCATTTTATTTAAAATTTCATGTACTGATATATTATTTTTCCTTTTATTTGTATGTAAAAAAAAAAAATATATATATATATATATATATATATTAATGTTTTATATGAACAATTTGTAAAAAAATATTGAGTATTATGATTATGATAAAAAAAAGAAAATATATATAAATATTTTTTTTTTATTAACAAAACATGTCCCATAATTAAAAAAATTGTACCATTGTAATGAAAAAATAAAAAATGCACACATTAAACTAGTAATTTTGCTATGATTTTTTTTTTTTTTAGCTAGCATTTCACTCTTTATATGCACGGATAAATAAAAGGAATGCATTTGTTTAATTTTTAATTATGCACAATAAAAAAAAAATTATAAATATTTAGTTTTATTTTTTTTTTAAATTTAAACATTTTATATATTATTTTTTAAAATTATACAAATATTATACTTATGTTTTTTATCTCATTTAATACATAATTTTTCCTTTTATGAAAAAATTTATAATTTTTAAGAACGTAAGATTAAAAATTTATTAAAAACGCGTTAAAATAGAAAAATTTTTAATACTTCATTTGAAAATGCAGAAGCAATATATACTTGTTTGTTGAATAAAATAAAACCTTTTTTTTTTTTTATATTTTTTTCTGAAAATATTTATTTTTTTCTTTTTTTTTTTTTTTTTTTTTTTTTTTTCCCC